AAAACCAAAAATTGGAAATATCAAATAACAAATATCCTGTAGTAAATGTCTATGGTTGCATACCCTGGACTCACAGCAGATCAAATCGAAAAATTCAGTTTGTTCAAAGAAAAAAATAAAATTGCATAAGACTAACAAAGGTATATTTAAAAATACTTTTAAACAGAACCTTACTAAAAGTCAATGTTCTTAACTGTGGTTGCATTCAGCACTTGGGTAAGATTCATTTTGCTTCAATAATTACATCGTGGAGCTTAGCAAGGAAGCACTTCGCCACACTTGTTTTCTGTGCTTCTCCACTCCTCCATTGATTAATTAACGTCACCCTGTGATGTTAATTAATTAATGACATGTTAAATTAACTTTCATTTGACTTCAGATCTCTCAGCTACAGTTTAGTCCTTGATATGCATCAGATGCCTCTGATGTTGTCTCTGGTGCCAAAAGTGCGAGAGAAACTATTTCCCCCAATAAGACACTCTTTAAGAATGTATCATGGCCATATTATAGGATTTCTGTGTTAAAATCAAAATCGTTAATAAAAATTTGAAATTTCATAGAATCAGAATTTTATTAGCTGTAAGCTATAATGATCAAACTGGTACACAATGTGTGATAGAAGCACTGAATTGATTTGCTATTATAAATCGACTCTTTGTTTTTATATTTACATTTATAAAAATGCACCTTTATTTAATGTGAAAATAAAGCAGTTTTTTGTTTTTCTTTGAAATTGCCTTATGTATCCGTCTGCCTGCTTCTGTCTTAAATCATTTTTAAACAACTAACAGAAAATGGTTTAAATCTACAATACGTACAAATCCAGACCTGATTAAATAAAGATAGAAAATACAGTAAGTTATGATCATACTTTCTTTCTTTTTATTAGCTTCTTATTTTTCCCTTATTTTGTTGACTTTCATTTAATGCTGAGAATAGTTTCTGTCTTTCTTTTTGTGTTTTATTATCGCTGGGGATGTTTTTTCCTTGCTGTCCTTTGTCATGTGTAATTATGCTGGTATTTGAGCCTGAACTCTTTGGAAAAGATGTTTGATCTAGAAAACCTTCCTTGAGGGTCAGAAAGAAAAAAAAGAAAATGTTTTGACCGGATTTAAGAATTGTTCGGCTGTTTTTAGGATCCTGTGGTTAAGATGCATGCCAGAAAACCTCAATGTCCTCGTGCAGCGAAGGGTTCTGTTGGAAATGGTTCATGGTATTTATCGAAGGAGTAAATAGAAAATGTCACAGTTTTTTTTTTTTTTTAACAAGTTGTAGAGAAAAAGGTTTTCCTCATTACTTACTGAACCAAATAAGCAGGTTTATAACCTTAAGATGAGCTTGGTGGAGATGGAGCAGAGCTGAGAAGAAAACAAAATTGGAGATTAGAAAATAACTTTGCCCCAGATAATCTGCCTGCAGCGCATGTGAGGGAGGGGCTGCTTTCTGTCTTGAGTTTTCAAAACCATTACTTTATTTTGAAAGATTTGTGTTCTTTTACTTTTGTCTCATTCACTTTAAGACCCATCTAAACTCGGTTTGTATTTTTTGTTATTTGCCAATCTAATCTACCTTAAAAAAGGTTTAATATAAACTGAACGATAAAACAGGTTTCAGTGTCAGAAATACATAAATATCATGAGACAGTATTGTAATATATAAAAAGGATAGTTTTTGTCTGTGCTAATCGCTCATTATGTCTACATAATAAAATCTGTTTGAAGGGAGCAGAACGAGAGTCTGTCTATAAAAAAGGAGAAAGTCCAAATTCATTGTTTAATTCAAGCCTTATTTATTTACGAATTGTTTCTAAATTACAAACTTTATGTTGTTTTTGTGTGTTTTTTTTTTTAACTATGTGAGAGTTGATCTATATTTGTAGTTCTTTGGGCCCCCTAACTGAACCACATTACCCAGAGGGCTGTGCTGTAATGAAGTCCATGTGTTCTGTGGTTGTAGTGCATACTTCTGTTTGTGTGCAGACCCCCCCACACACACATACGCACGTGTGTACTGCTGTGCACGATTTGGTGGAGGCTTGCTTTGTCAGTGCAGCAGTAATAGCAGGTTTCTGTTTATAGGCTGGGAGACCTCTATTTTAAGACACACAACAAGACGAACTGATTACAGACTCCTCAGTTCTGTCTCTCCCCTCTCTATGCTCCCCTTTTCCTCATGCTCCCCTCTCCCTCTCAATATATCACTTTTTAATTTCAGATTTTCTATTCTGTCTTCCCTTTTACATTTGCACACTTATAATTTTATTGAATGTGTAAATTTTCCTAATACCCTTCCTAACATTCAGGTTCTGTGGCCAGCCTGGGTAATAATTTATAGCACGCAGATATTTGGTGGTGCAATCCAGCTGCAGATTATAAACCATAATATTTCAAACCTTTTCTTTGTGTGCCATGTTGTAGCTGACTCTGAAAACTTGCACCGGACCATCTGCTTCTTGCCCAAATCAACCCTTGTGGGTCTTACAAGGATGTTTCTGGTTTCATAGATGAAGGATATAACTCCTTGTGTCTAAGAGTTTCATTTCTGTTGGACACAGACACTGATCATTACTACAGAGCTGTGGGGAGATGAAGTGTGTGTGTGTGAGAGTAGTGGTGGCGCTATGTGGTATCATTGAGAAGCCGGTTTGGTTTTTGTTTGGAACCGGGCCTGATGTTTAGTCTCCTCAGCAAATATCTCCTCTGCCTGTCTGCCTTCGCAATCACGCTCCAACAGCGATTCCAGAATAGCTGCTCTCCCACGTCCTTTCGTTTTACTCTCAGTCCAAAAAGGAAAACAGACATTTATTCTGACTTTATTTCACAGACTACATAATATGACTTGAGAGCAGTGATCCAATTCTAATCTTTCACCCGATAGTGGCAACTTTTATCTATCTGTACATATTTGATTTCCTTTATAGTTTTTTAAAAGATAAAAATGTAAGGAAAAGAAAGAGTCAAATAAATAAAAGCTTGTGTGGTTGTGGCCTGACATACCATCCGCTAGCAGTTGGCATCTATATGTGTGCTTTTTTTACTCATTTAACACTCAGACTTTATATTGTGGTCTGATTTAGTTTAGTAGACCGCATGTCTCTTTTGATAAAGTCTAAACTTGGACTTGGATTTTTTTTATTTGCTCTAGTTTGTAATTGGCATAAAATCTCACCCATCTGCCTGGTTTCCCTCTATGCAAACATCCTAGGGCCTTTTTCTTCAATCCAGAGTAACGTAAACTTCAAGCTAAATTTGCTAAGGGTTTTGTTTTTTCATGTCAGTTAATTACTTTGAAAATCAGCTAAAGAACATGTGTAAATATCTACCTGCAGTTCCCCCAAATTATTAATTTTTTTGTGGGATTATTTGTGAGGTTTGTCATATGTTAGTAATTCCTTTACCTTGTTTTTCTAAATCAGATCTGCATGCATTTCAATCTATGCTTGAATGATCTTTAATAAAATCTAGACATCTTGTCAGTTAGCCTGGTTCTGCTGGAGATTTCTACCTGTTTAAAGGGAGTTTTTCCTCTCCACTGTCGCTACAAGCATGCTTAGTGTGAGGGATTGCAGTCGGGAGGCTTACCTACAAGTAATTGACTCTCAGTATAAATACCCAGCAGAAAGGTCAGAGATTATATAACAAACTTTGAACATATCACAGAGTTCTGTTTGCTCCATCATTTCAAAACGGAATGAGTATAGCACCCCTGTTAACCTACCAAGACATGCCAAGTAGAACTTCATGGAGGGAAGCATCTAAGATGCAAGTGGAAACTATAGAGGACTCAGGTCAGAGAATCTGCTGAAGAACACCTGTTAGTTGTAGACTCCACATATCTGCCTTTAATGCCAAGAAAAATGCAATTGTTAAAATGGAGACATAAAATCCCTATTTACAGTTTATCTGAAACCATTTAGGAGACAGCAAATGTTTGGAAGAAGTTGTTCCAGCCAATTGAGACCCAAACTGAACTTTCTTAACTATATTATGTGGAATATATTTCTACAATCTACCTTTAACGAACTATCGAGTTTGTTAAAGGTAAAACATGGTGGTACCACCATCATGCTGTGGAGGAAACAAAACATGAGTCTTTTTTAGGTTTCAAATGGTTAAAGACGGTTTTCATTGAAAAGTCCCAATGAAGTGTTTGTTTGGCTTCTATGTTGTTCTAAGTCTAGGTGCTGCTTCTTCTGCAGGTTAATTGAGCACAACTGACAATGCTCTGCTGAAAGCTCAGAGGACCTGTCTTGGTCAGTTGACCAATTGCCCCATTACAGAGTTGGTGGCCTTGGTCCTATTGATGGCAAAGAGGAAGGTCTAGGAGGAGGGAAAACAATTCTTGGGTTTGGTAGCTGTTTTGTTTTTATGAATGATTACATTTTATTCTAAAAAAAAAAAAAAAAATATTGTACAGCTTTTCAGTCTCAAGTTTGAGATGCGTGACAAATAGCTGCAAAAGAATAATCTGGCAATGTCTGTGTTCCTGGATCCTGGATATTTTACTTACCAAGACAGAAGGCCTCTCTTAGTGTCTTTATTGTGATATTTTGGGTTACTTTTGTAATAAAGTTCCAGCAAACCCACAGTTTAAAGTAATAAAAGTTGTTTATTCTTCTTTTTGAAGTTTCCATTAGATGTGTTTGTCTCACCTGCAGGTTCCCCTCAGAGAGTTGATCGGGCTTGGAGAGGTGAGACAAAAAAAGACCTTCAACATGGACAAAGATGGAGGGAGAGGGGAGAAGGTTGTAGAGAACAGAACTATGAAAACCCAGAGAGAATGCAGTGGAGAGGAGGACACAGAGGAGGAGGACGAGGTCAAAGCTTCCACTTATATTCTGACTCCTATGAAGGAAACCGGCCTCCTAAACAGCCCAGAGGTGGACGGTACCCCAACAGAGGGAGATACCAACTGGCTCCCAGGTAGGACCTGTGTGGCTCAAAAATGGTAATAATTTCCTTTGTTTAACCGTTGATGTCTTTTATCTCCTTTGCTCTCCTCTCAGATGGCAACATCCTCCTGGTCCCTGAATATAATTCAAGCCTGAAGAGAGAGGAGCTAAGGATCAAAGAGAGGGACTGTTAAAATGAAGAAGATAAAAATGTGTTGAAAAGGACAAGATCAAATTTCTCTGAACAAACCGATCAGCGAATGATCTGTCAGGAATGTTTGTCTAAAGGATGTAGTAGGAAGAGAAATGGAGTTTAAACAGGAAACAAAGGTAGTGGTGTCATGGTACGCTAAAAAGAAAGTGCTGCAGCCTTTACCTTCTGAACCTTTTTTTTTAGGACAAAAGGCAACAAAGAAATAATAAGAAAAAACATTTTCTTTAGTAATTATATTTTTTGATAAACATGGAGCTTGTTTTTGTCAGGTATTTATGATGGCAAAAATGAAAAGCTATTTTTATTTTTTTATTAAGTGATATAATCCTTCCTATGGTAAAAAAACAAACAAACCTGAACATAAAAAAATTATTCTGGTGTCAGATATAAAATAAAATAAGTTAAAAGCAAATTTAAGTCCACACCATCTTATATCTGGTGAAATTAAGAGTTTGTATGCTAACAGAGACAGATAATTTGTGCTTATTTTTACTCAATAACTGGTAATAAACAACACATTCATTGGTATGTATTCATTGGTATTTTTTTTATCACATCCATTCAGCACACTATCCTACACCAATCTGTTTTACCACTATAGTTAAACATGCTGTGGAGAGTCTGGAGAGGGACAGGGAAGCTGGTTAGAGTGGATGGAAAGAGGAGTGGAGCTATATAGAGGAGAATCCTGAATCGCCTATTATAGATGGATGAAGACTTCAGACTGAGTTTGTTTCTATTCCAAATTTACATCACTTGAGCTCCAATGAGGTGCGGTAATATTAAAGCATCCTTGTATTCAAAGTAACTCCAGCTTTGATTGCAGCAAAGCAGTCATCCCACCTTTTGCTACAAAGTATTGACTCAGAGAGGCTGAATACAAAAGTTTTTATTTGTAAATATAGGAATATCTACATATTGTTTCCTTCCATATCGCAGTCAAGCACTGTACAACAAAATCCTCTCAAAAATAGATTAAAGTTTGTTTTTAACTTGTCAAAATCAGGAAAGGTTCAAGGCACAGTGGAAACAAATTCAGGGAAAATCTTCCAGCTGAAGTGCTTTTTCATTGCTTTGTGTGAGCATGTTTGTGTGTGTTTGTGCATGTGGCTGTAAGCAGATTAGAGAGGAAATGTGAGAGTGATTTACTTAACAAATGGAGGGAGGTCAAACTGTTGAGTGATGGTGGTCCTAACAGAACTAAAGCACAGAAGTCTGGCATTACTTCAGAAAGAGGCTGTCCCAGAGTGTATGACCTCAGCAAAGCAGTATTAATCCTGAGGAGGTATATGTTTAATAAATGTACTAAGAAAATAGGGAACCTTTTTGCTAAGCAAAGTTTCTGTACATAGCCAAATTAAAAAATGCATAACTGATTTGTCAGAGAAGGGTTAGTGGAAAAAAAATCAGTGATTTAAATACAACTAGAAAAAATTCTGGGCTATACTTTTGCAGAAAACCATTAAGAATGCTTCTTTTTTTAATGTCAGCTAATATGGGGATCCAACTAATTCATCAATCAAATAATTGATTTTAATTAATGTTGTGTATCACAGATGCATTAATTCATAAGTGCCTGATAATATTTTAAATGTGTTTTTCATATTATTACTTCAAAGCCCAGAGTTAGGTGGCTTCACAAACGAATGCATTTGGATGTGCAGGTACAAAATGTTAACATAAAAACTGAAATGGAGGACGGCTTAGTGACTGCAGAGCAATCCGAATGCTCGTACCCCTTTATCTGTTTGTACTTTTATAAATGTCAAACGTTAACAGGTTTTATTTAATATAGTAACACAAGGTACTGCTTAATAAAGAACTGGAAGTAAAATGATCCACACTTTTCAAAACCTTTTACAATTTTAAGATGTAGATGATCTAAAGAAAAGCGCTGAAGGTTTTCAAATATCAAACATGGTTTTACTGAAGCAGTAAAGTGTTTGTGTATTTACTGTGCTTTTGAGTTATTAGGATTCAGGGGCTTGAAACCTTAACAGTAAGTCACTGATTTACGCATAAAACCTTTTTAATGAGATGAAACCACACAGTCCACTCCCTGTCTTTCTTCTCAGGCCAGTGGCAGCAGAATAATCAACAGAGCGTGTGGGTGTTGTGGGGTTGGTACTGTGGTGAGAGCGTCGGGTGTGGCTGTATGTGTGAGGACGAGGCACCTGGGCGGGGTACACTCATTCATTCTAGACAAGTGCAAAAGCAGGAAGGAAGTGTTTTGTAAAGAGAACAAAAAGAAAAGGATGGTCTAATAAAAGAAAATTGGAAAAGGAAAGGTCTGTTTAAAAATATGAGCCAATATACTTAAGAATGGGGCTAGATTTATGAGATGGGCAGAGAAGATTTCTACCATTATTTGTAGGTCTGAAGTTTCTTTAGGAAGGAAATCAAAATCCCTGACTTGGATGCAGAGCCAGGAATAGTACAAATATTTGCGAATTAATATGCTGGCAAAAATACAAAAGGCATCATTGGTAAATATTACAGAAACTTAGCATCTATTAATAAGAACTCAAGTGATTATATATCAGACCACCACAAGAGAAGGAAGAAAATGTAATAACTTTACCTGAGGCCTGGATGCTAATCAGGAGGGACACTCTACCACAAATTCCTTAACTTGGCGAGATTTCTGCTGGAAGAATCTAATCAGATATTTTATTACGTTCGAAGCAGAGATGGAAGCTGGGTGGTTCACAATTCTTTTTACTGGTGGAAATGAGGTGTGGTCTCTGTGGGATGCTTTCATATCTTTTTGGACAGTTGAAGACCTTCTGGAAGGATGTTAATCGAGTAATCTATGAAATTCTGGGTAAAACTTTAGTCTTTTTAATTTCCTGCTATTTACCTCGGAATACTTTCTGAGGGACTCAGTAGCAGAGACGCAAACTTGTTGAAGATATTTATGAATGCAAGCAAGAAAGCGATTACTAAATGTTGGTTCCAACCTAGACCCCCCCACTCTGAAGCTTCTAGTAAACATTATAAACCTGAGCCACAATATGGAAATGTTGACTTTAAAAATACGGCTTAGAGAACGACAAAGGAAAAGAACCTCTTGAGAAATGGGATCATTTTATTTCCAAAATTGTTTCCGTTTTGTGACTCCATACAGTAAAATGTCTATAAAACTGTAATGCTTATCAGTCTAACTGCCTGCTACCTGAAATGAATAAAAATAAAGTATAT